AAAGAAACAGTTACCTTTTCTACTGTTTTTACCTTTTCTACCTTTCTTACCTTTTCTACCTTTCTTACCTTTTCTACCTTTTCTACCTTTTCTACTATTTCTTATTATTTTAAAAGATATATAAACCCTGGCTTTTCTCCCTTCCTGCCAGTTAGTTCAAATTAGACCCAGATATCCCTTTGTTATAGAATTCCTTCTTGTAATAAAAGTTCTATAAACAAGTAAATAAAATATATATTTCTTTAACTATATACCTTCCTCGAACTGTCCTAGTGAAGTTATATTCCACTTCTACACTATTACATATCCTGTAGTTGTGTGCTTTGTTACTTATGCTGTATTAAGAAGGCTACAGTTCATTTGTAACAATCTCAATAAGCTTGACAATTGCTTCTTAAGCACAAAATCAATTAACTTAGTAAGAAAAAGTTTTTTTAAAACAAATATCAGATTTCAGGTATATAATAATCTGCATTATATTATACTAAGATCGTTCTTCTGTTGAGTGACAAATTATTAATTTAATTATATATAATATTTTTAATTATTAATTTAAAAATTAAAATTAATTTTTTTTGTATTGCTAAAAAATATTAATGGATATGATTTTGGTATACTATTAATAATACAATATACTACCAAGTAACATTTTTTAAAAGCAATTATCTACTAAATTTAAAATTTAATTATTTATTTAAATATTATTTTAAAATATCTTAAATCTATATAATTGCATACCAAATATTTTAATAGTTCTAAAGATTTTTTAGAATTTTATAGAATTTATTTTTTAATTTAAAAATTGCAATTTTGATTAATTTTATATAGTATTTACTAGTTACCTTATAAACTATTTTTGCTTATCGTAAAACGCAATAGAAAATATCCCCCTTGATTTGTACCCCCTTGATTTGTACCGGGTATATTTTAAGGTCATCAAACATAGTATTTTGTAAGAGACCCGGGTACAAATCAATAACTGATTTTTTTTTTTTTTTTTTTATTCAAATAGATTAATTACTTAAGTTTAAATTTTTACAGTGAATATAAATTATTCTGCAAACTCTTATAATAATGAATTGCCATCTGTTTTGTTATTTTTTCATAGAATATAAATTATCCAGCAAACTCTTATGATCATGAATTGCCATCTGTCTTGTTATTTTTTTTATATGTTACGATGTAATCATATTTATTCAAATTAAAACTCTCCCTACCAATAATGATCATAAATTGCCAGATAACACCAATATTGGGAATACGATAATTTGTCTTAACCGGGCAAATGATTGGTATATGTGCCGCTTCGCATCACGTGCTCATTTGTCCAGCTTGCCAAATTTCCATTACTTGACAAATTTTGCCCAATATTGTATACATATTTATTTTACAAATTATTATTAATGTTCAAAACATATATTTTTTGCGTTCTAATATGAAGTGAGATTCAGATCTAATATATTTTTTTTTTTTTAAACAAAATAGTCGAATATAGAACAAAATTCATTCAATAATTAAAATGTTTCATGTACAAAAGGATCAAGTAAGTTTATTTAAAGTTTTTTCAGCAATTGCATTGTTATAAAATTATTCAACCTAGCGGTTTACAACATTTTCTACTTCATTTTGAATATAATAATGTTCGAATTTCACTTCCTGAGACAAAGCGTCCAAAGAATTTTGTTGATTTGAAAAATGGGGTGGAAAATATGATTGGTATGGAGGTTGATGTTGATTAATAGGCGGGAAGTCTTGCTGAAGCTGATGCTGGGTAAGAGACAGGAGGCCTTGTTGATGCTGCTGATGTTGGGTAAGAGGTGGAAAGCCTTGTTGATGCTGCTGATGTTGGGTAAGAGGCGGAAGGCCTTGTTGATGCTGCTGATGTTGGGTAAGAGGCGGGAGGCCTTGTTGATGCTGCTGATGTTGGGTAAGAGGCGGGTAGCTTTGTTGGTGCTGCTGTTGTTGAGTAAGAGGCGGGAGGCCTTGTTGATGCTGATATTGTTGGGTAAGAGGCAGGAGGCCTTGTTGAAGTTGGTGTTGTTGGATAAATAGAGAATCTTGTTGATCCGAGAAATATAGTTGAGGTAAAGAATCTTGCCGATATTGATGTGAAGGATCTTGCTGGAGTTGAGTTGTAGATTCTTTATCACTAAAAATATATTCATTGGCCTCATAGCCTTCAATTTGGTTATAATCGAAAATTAAATTTTCTTCTGATCCATTGGTTGTAACTGAAATACCACAGCACTTAAAAGAACGTTTAATAAGTTGGGTATCAACGGCATCCCATGCACGTTGAACCTATTCTGCAACAAACACTGTATGAGGGGTGTTTTATTTTACTAGTCGCTGTTAATTGCATTACTTCTTGTCCCATCCATTCATTATAGAAAAATCCAATCTATTAAAAAAAACAAAATTTAATATCAATTATTATAAATCACACCAGTGGTGTTAAACACCATATAATATTTTATTATAATTTTGTTGCAACACTTAAGATTAGGGTAAAATTAGAATAAAATTAAAAACTACAAACTAAAAGTTAAAGCTAAAATAAAGTTGAGGTAAATGTTTGATACATTCAGCCTTGGTTATCTAAACAGTTTTTGAGATATAACAACTTTGGTGTTGAACATCACTGATGTGATTTAATAATGCCAATTAATATATATATATAAGTGATGCTAAGAAAAATCCAAGCTTTGATCATATAATTTCTTGGTATCACTCATATATTAAAAAAAAAAAAAAAAACCTTTGTTTTGAAAGATTTATTAATCGATACATCAAGGGGTTGAACTTTTGATGTCAAACCTCTGGGAATAATTGCAATATTAGTGATTTTTTTTAAAAGATTATTTTTAACAGAAGGAACCAAATGACCTCGAAAAGAGTCCATTACTAATAGTGATCGTGAATTTTCTGCACATGGTGTACGATTTTTCTAAATCGTTTCAATTCAGTAATCCATTTCGGTTTCATTCATCCATCCTTTTTCATTTGCTCTAATGATTACACCAGGTGGAAATTCAAGGCA